TCGCGGTTAAAGACCGGGTCGCCTTTGCGCGCGGAGGAAATAACTCATTCCGGCGGAGGAGATAACTTTCGGAAGCGTGCGATCGCGACGCGAACATGCATTATCGCGCGCGTCGCGACCGCGTCGTTGATTGTCCGTGTGATTAAAGGAGAGACTTCTTTTATTCAAGCAGATAACCGGGTGATGGCACTTGCGCAGCGAGGAGTGGCACGTTTTGTAATTGTATTCATTCTAAATTAATTACAGCGGACTAGAATTTACGGCTGTAACGAACAATCACTCATTCGAGACGTAATTACGAGACGAAAGATATTATCGTTGCGTAATGATTATGCAATTTACTACGGTACGCTGTAAAGCGATGCAATTAAATGATAAGCGCGACCGTCACGCGTCGGCTTGTATTTTGCAATTTGAGCAGGATCGAGAATCTGCGGGAAGCTGCATGTTGGACCTGTATGTTGCGACACATCGCGAGTGAGTTTTTCGAAAAGTGCAAAAACGAATTCAAATCATTCGTCCAAACGTCGAAATACAAACCTGGCATTTCGAACGACATACTGTCGATATGATTGCATTAAAGATACACAGAGCGAAATACAGATTGCTGATGTTTGCACGATCGTCGACGCGTTTGCATCCCAAATTCACGTGTCAAAGTATATGGGAAACGTATAATGAAGAGCGTATAATCTATGCGCATCTATGCGATTGATCTATTTTTCTCCCTTTTTTCTCCCGAAAACCTTTCAAAAAGCCTTCTTCGAATAAAAAAAAAAAAAAAAAAAAAGAACAAAGGTAGACTCAAGCAGATTTAAAACATTCAAATGATATTTAAATTTGTAAAAAGATATGTTAGTAATAGCAAAAGTTAACTTAAAAATATTGCTTAGAGAACATCCGCTTATTCTACTTCTTCTCAAGTACAAATTATGTGGAAATTATTGTAAATGATTAATAGTAGGCTTAGATTAATTATGTATCTGTACATGATTATGAATGAAAGTAAACGAATTACTTCGGGCAGGTTGTAAATATATTGACTCGTGACGTAAAATGACAAGAGGAAATTTATGACGGAAAACGCATCGGCGATGTTCGATCGGGGATTGGCGGAAGGGGCGAGATAAACGTGGTAGGCCGCGGTTAAACGCGCGCGGAGACGTCCGCGGTGGGGTAATGGAATCTCGAGTGAGAGCAGGAAAGAAACCAGAGCGCCGCAACGACGTGACGGGGCGAGGAAAGGGAATAGATTTTACTTCAACGTAGAAGAATCGTGGTCCGTAGAGGTCTGCCGATGGAAGCGGGGCGGGCGGCGCGGGGGGTGCGGAAGACGAGCGACCTTGACCCGTGGCGGAGAGGTTCAAACCAGGAGGTGAACCAACCGGCGCCTTCGCGGAAAAGTTGGGCGCGCCCGCGCGCGTCAACGTAGGTGGGAACCCTCGTCGTGTTTACGTGTGGACTCGCCCTTTTCCACGCGATGCGGATACACGTGCTGCACCTTGCAACCATCCCCCGCTCCTTCCCTCGTATTTTTCACGTTGCGTCGCGCCGCCGCGTAACGAACGCCCACCCACGGGGCGACCGAAATCTTTCGGGTATCCTTTTTTTCAGAAAAACAATCCCGAATTAATGAATCGTTTTGATTGACCAATTTTGTAATCCGACGTGATATCATCGACCACGTGTATGTCAGTGATTGCGTCTTTAAGAAACTTTTGAAAAGAACGAGTTCATTTTTAAAGATATAGTAATAGAGGAAATAAACTTAATAGATTTGACGAGCTTAAATTGGTCACATCAAACTGAAGAAATTCGGATATAAAAGAATGATTCGTCCCTTCGTAGGGATCGAGATAAATTGGGATAAATTGGTAGTATTCTTTTCTAACGAGTCTAAGATTTATCTGAAGTGATACCGAATCATCTTGAGTCACTTTACAGGATGGAGTAAATTAAAACATGAATCATTTGATACATTTTTTTTTTCAGGAAAACTCGAACGATATATCATGCCAAAAATTTTTCAATTTGTTTGCAATTACTCTCTCACTTGTTTTACGGAATGTTGGTCAGCCGTGCATGATACATGCTCCGGACGACATACATAAATCGTGCTCGTCCACGATAAAACGTCCCGACGTCCGGTCCATTCACGATAGGCGACCGCTGCAACTCCTCCGCCAATTCGATTTCGCGTCGAGACAGCACCAGCACTTCACTTATCGCCATTGCAAAAAGTAAAAAAAGAAAGATGAGAAACGTTCGAAAGAGAATGAGAAAGAGTGAGCCTGGCCGATAGTGGCCAGTAAGTTTTATCTCGTTTCATTTTGCCCGACGTTTCTCGACGCTTTATTTAGACCGAACGACCAGGCCGCCCGTATTTTCAGGTGCTAAGCCGGTCCATCTTCAGAAAATCGAAACGGATAATAAGGGACATATATTATCCTGGAAGACAGATGTATCTCGAGGCAGTCTCACATTTTTGCGCGATAGAAAAATGGTTAAATCGACCACGATCTGATGGTAGGAAGGAAGGAAGGA